AACAACCTGCCTCCAGAAGCAGTGAATGCTCCAACACTGGAAGTTTTTAAGAAGAGACTGGACAGCCATTTGTCTGAAATGGTGTAGGGTTCCTGCCTGAGCAGGGGGTTGGACTCGATGACCTCCAAGGTCCCTTCCAACTTTATTATTATTATTATTATTATTATTATTATTATTATTATTATTATTATTATTATTACCATCATCATCATTATTATCATCATCATCATCATTATCATCATCATCATCATCATCATTATCTTTTAAATCATCAAAAAGATCTTGTATTATTATGGCTCTTGTTTGATGTTGATAAGAGCGCCCAGTTGATGTTTTCTTAGGAGGACAGTTGGGGTCAGTGGCAGATGGCTGACACTGCTGAAGGCCCCAAGGCTCACCTTAAGATGCAGTCCCAGCATTGTTGTCAATCAGGGCTGCTTTTCATGGCTATGGTGGTATAGCTCAGGCTTCCAGGGGTGGCGGCAGCTTTGTATCACACTTCAGGAACCCCGCAACTCATGGGTGGATCCAGGATCTCCCCCACCACCACCATTGCCTGCTCCTCCCCCCACTTAAGAACCCTCACGATCACTTAATGATTGCAACCAGCAGTGTGGGATTATGGTTGTGGATCCAAGGGATGATGTGACTCCTCACCTAACTGCTGCTTCACTGAACAACTGAAATTCCAGTCCGGACTGTGGTCATAAGTGGAGGACATCTCTCCTACAGATGTAGGGCCTTCATCATTGTCTTGGGTGTACTGGGGACCCTACCCTGGGCAGAGGGTGGGACTGGAAGACCTTCAAGGTCCCTTCCAAGGCTGAGATTTTGTGATTCTCTACCATTCTCAAAAGGAAATATTATTTTCGATTTCTTTTTTAATCTAACAGCAGATAAAAATTGTAACCAAAGATTTATCTGCAATTCAACACATAATAGAAAATCAACACAAGGCAGCAGCTGCCAGAAAGCATGGAGCCTGGGAAACTCTTGGATCCCCCGTCAGACACAATCAGCACTCCAGAAAACCACAAAAAACCCCATGAATGCTCAGAGTGTGGGAAATCCTTTGCTCGCAGATCAGTGCTTTTTACCCACAAGAAGATCCATGTGGGAAGTGGATCTAGTCAAGGTTTGGAGGGTGAGAAATCCTCTGGAACAGACACCAAAGGTCTCAGAAATCCCCCCAGACTAAAACCCTATAGATGTATAAAATGTGACTTATGCTTTGGTCAAAAGTCACACCTTCTTACCCATCAGAAAATCCACACAGGAGAGAAACCCTATCAGTGTCTTGAATGTGGGAAATTTTTTTGTCAGAAAGTCACCCTCAGAAACCATGAGAGGCTTCACACAGGGGAGAAGCCTTACAAATGTTGGGAATGTGGAAAGAGCTTTTCTCAGAACGCAAGTCTTTGGGCCCATGAGAAGGTTCATGCAGGAATAAAATCGTACAAATGCTTTGAGTGTGGGAAATGTTTCACCCGGAGTTCAACTCTTCAGAGTCATGCGAAAACGCACAGAGGGGAGAAAAACGAAAAGTGCTTCGAATGTGGGAAATGTTTTTACCAGAAATCACACCTGATGCGACATCAGAGACTTCACACCGGAGACAGACCTTATGAATGCCCAGACTGTGGGAAACGATTTATGTATTCTTCTGAACTTCGGAGGCACCAGAAGAGGCACAAAGGGGAGAAACCCTATCAATGTGGGGAATGTGGGAAAGGTTTTGTTACACAAAGAGAGCTTCAGCTTCACGAGAGAATCCACACAGGGGAAAAACCATACAAATGTGGGGAGTGTGGGAAATGCTTTTCCCTAAAACAACACCTTGGAAGCCATCAGAGGCTCCACACAGGAGAGAAACCATACAGATGCCTAGAATGTGGAAAGTGTTTTACTCAACAGGGACACCTTTTGACACATCATAAAACCCACACAGGGGAGAAGCCACATCAATGCATCCAATGTGGACAATGTTATTCTACCACATCAAACCTTAGACGTCATGTGAAAATTCACATCCAATGTGGACAATTTTATTTTACCACATCAAACTTTGGACGTCATGTGAAAATTCACACAGGGGAAANCGTGCGGCGCTTCAGGCTGGTGCTGCCACTCGTGGCCATGTGCCACATGGTGTCCGGCTGCAAGCGGTGGCAAGCAGATGCTGAAGAAGTCAAGACGCAGCACGAGAGGTGCCGAGCCCTGGGAGGCTTGGCTGCGTCTGTTCTAAGGTAAGACATCCTCTGAAAATAAGACCTGATGCCTCTTTTGGAGGCAAAAAAAACCCCAAAAAACTATAAGACCAGGTCTTATTTCCGGGGAAACATGGGGGGTATGTCCACTTCACTATTCCACTATTTTAGCTACTTTAGTCACTTTGTCAAAGAGAGCACTAAGTTTTGTCTAGCATGATCTGTTTTTGACAAACCCATGTTGGTTTCTTGCAATAGCTTTGTTGGTTTCTAACTTTTCACAGATTCCTTGCTTGATTGTCTTTTCCAGGATCTTCCCAGATATTGATGTCAGTCTGACTGGTCTATAATTTCCTGGGTCCATTTTTTTCCCTTTTTGTAGTCAAGAAGTCATGATGGGATGGAGCTCAATGATGCAAAAAGCGAGAAAAAGGGAGTCAGGAATGGGTTGCTTACACTAACCCGAACTCTCTTCCGTCCTCTCTTGCTTATGCGATGCCTTAATTTTGGGGATTCCCTGTAGGCACTCTTCGTATTATGACCACAATTCAGACCGGAATCTCAGTCTTTGAGAGAACCGGTCATTAAATGAGATGTCACATGACCGCTTTACTCTGCACTCGTGGTTGTGGTTGTGAAGCTACTTCACAAGCAGACAAAGTCCCAGTTAAGGAATGTGAGGTTGCCTGAAGTGGGCAGTGGAGGCCGTGTGAGTCCTGGCACAGGAAATGTGGAAGTTGAGGGGGCCCTGAAGAAGGTTACGGATGCTTTGGGACACGTTGCTTAGCAACAGTATGGAACAGGCGGCTTGGAGAATGGCGCAAGGCTGCAAAGGCCTCCACTTTGGGGATTAAGGCCTCATTTCTCAATGGCAGCGGAGACAGTGGGCTGAAGTCCAGTCCTTTTTTCCCCCAAGTTTTTTATTAATTTTCCAATATTACATTTACATATTTGAAAAGTAGCGTGGCAGCTGAGCACAGTAATTCCATTACATTTGAGTATCATCAGTAACAAGTCTCAAAGTATTACAACAACTAACTCCCTCTCTTTCCCCCATAATATCTACTGCCATACTCGAACCAATACATTTCTTATTCTATCAATCAAACAAAAAATACCTTTCTAGTATTCATCAATAATGTTCAGTCTATACATATTTTAATTAATTTGACATTCCATCTTTTAGACAATAACCTAGTAAGTTTTTCTTCACTTTAATTTCCCATTGATCTTTAAGTTTAACATTTAATCTTTGTCATTTCCAGATTTTAAATGATCCCAATTTCTAAGTCCCCTATCTCATATTCGGGTCTAATAATTTTTCCTTTTCTTCCTTCTACTTCCTTCCTTCCTTCCATTCCAGAAAAGGAAAAAAATAATAAACCACCAGCATTTGTACCACAAACCCATATACAAATTTAATTATTAGTATTTATACTTCTAAGTTTTACTTAACCTTTGGCTCAACTCATAACAATATCTTAAATTCAAATCTTAGTTATTTGTAAAAATTCAAACTTTTAGCCAATCAGTGACCTGATGGTTAATTTTCCCTTAATATTTTAGTTTAACATTTAATATTTATTTTTTTCCAAATTTTTAATTAAACACAATTCCTTTATCACAATTCCTCATATAGTCTAATATTTAAAATTCACTCCTTATATATAAATTCTACCACCTATATTAACAAACTAACAATACAGTATAGTATTCTTATTTCAATACTTATATTTCTAGGTTTTATATGACCAAAATTTTCTTTATCTCAAATCGTTACAATACCTTATGTTTAGAATACATATTCTATCCATTTAGATATATTCTGTTTTAGATCTCATGTGTAGATCAAAACCCCAATCTTTTTCAATTTATTCTAGCTTTTTTTCTCTGCCAGGCTTAGTAAGGCCACACTTGGAATACTGCATCCAGTTTTGGTCACCACGATGTAAAAAAGATGCTGAGACTCTAGAAAGAGTACAGAGAAGAGCAACAAAGATGATTAGGGGACTGGAGGCTAAAACATATAACGAACGGTTGCTGGAATTGGGTATGTCTAGTTTAACGAAGAGAAGGATGAGGGGGGACATGATAGCAGTGTTCCAATATCTCAGGGGCTGCCACAAAGAAGAGGGAGTCAAGCTATTCTCCAAGGCGCCTGAAGGCAGGATGAGAAGCAACGGATGGAAAGTGATCAAGGAGAGAAGCAACTTAGAACTAAGGAGAAACTTCCTGACAGTTAGAACAATTAACCAATGGAACAAACCTGCCTCCAGAAGCAGTGAATGCTCCAACAGTGGAAGTTTTTAAGAAGAGACTGGACAGCCATTTGTCTGAAATGGTGTAGGGTTCCTGCCTGAGCAGGGGGTTGGACTCGATGACCTCCAAGGTCCCTTCCAACTTTATTATTATTATTATTATTATTATTATTATTATTATTATTATTATTATTATTATCATCATCATCATCATCATCATCATCATTATCATCATCATCATCATCATCATCTTTTAAATCATCAAAAAGATCTTGTATTATTATGGCTCTTGTTTGATGTTGATAAGAGCACCCAGTTGATGTTTTCTTAGGAGGACAGTTGGGGTCAGTGGCAGATGGCTGTCAGTGCTGAAGGCCCCAAGGCTCACCTTAAGATGCAGTCCCAGCATTGTTGTCAATCAGGGCTGCTTTTCATGGCTATGGTGGTATAGCTCAGGCTTCCAGGGGTGGCGGCAGCTTTGTATCACACTTTCATTTTTCATTTTCATTTTTTCATTTTATTAAATTTATACCCCGCCCTTCTCCCGTAGGACTCAGGGCGGCTTACAGCCAGTTGTAAGCCGCAACTCATGGGTGGATCCAGGATCTCCCCCACCACCACCATTGCCTGCTCCTCCCCCCACTTAAGAACCCTCATGATCACTTAATGATTGCAACCAGCAGTGTGGGATTATGGTTGTGGATCCAAGGGATGATGTGACTCCTCACCTAACTGCTGCTTCACTGAACAACTGAAATTCCAGTCCGGACTGTGGTCATAAGTGGAGGACATCTCTCCTACAGATGTAGGGCCTTCATCACTGTCTTGGGTGTACTGGGGACCCTACCCTGGGCAGAGGGTGGGACTGGAAGACCTTCAAGGTCCCTTCCAAGGCTGAGATTTTGTGATTCTCTACCATTCTCAAAAGGAAATATTATTTTCGATTTCTTTTTTATTCTAACAGCAGATAAAAATTGTAACCAAAGATTTATCTGCAATTCAACACATAATAGAAAATCAACACAAGGCAGCAGCTGCCAGAAAGCATGGAGCCTGGGAAACTCTTGGATCCCCCGTCAGACACAATCAGCACTCCAGAAAACCACAAAAAACCCCATGAATGCTCAGAGTGTGGGAAATCCTTTGCTCGCAGATCAGTGCTTTTTACCCACAAGAAGATCCATGTGGGAAGTGGATCTAGTCAAGGTTTGGAGGGTGAGAAATCCTCTGGAACAGACACCAAAGGTCTCAGAAATCCCCCCAGACTAAAACCCTATAGATGTATAAAATGTGACTTATGCTTTGGTCAAAAGTCACACCTTCTTACCCATCAGAAAACCCACACTGGAGAGAAACCTTATCAGTGTCTTGAATGTGGGAAATTTTTTTGTCAGAAAGTCACCCTCAGAAACCATGAGAGGCTTCACACAGGGAAGAAGCCTTACAAATGTTGGGAATGTGGAAAGAGCTTTTCTCAGAACGCAAGTCTTTGGGCCCATGAGAAGGTTCATGCAGGAATAAAATCGTACAAATGCTTTGAGTGTGGGAAATGTTTCACCCGGAGTTCAACTCTTCGGAGTCATGCGAAAACGCACAGAGGGGAGAAAAACGAAAAGTGCCTCGAATGTGGGAAATGTTTTTACCAGAAATCACACCTGATGCGACATCAGAGACTTCACACCGGAGACAGACCTTATGAATGCCCAGACTGTGGGAAACGATTTATGTATTCTTCTGAACTTCGGAGGCACCAGAAGAGGCACAAAGGGGAGAAACCCTATCAATGTGGGGAATGTGGGAAAGGTTTTGTTACACAAAGAGAGCTTCAGCTTCACGAGAGAATCCACACAGGGGAAAAACCATACAAATGTGGGGAGTGTGGGAAATGCTTTTCCCTAAAACAACACCTTGGAAGCCATCAGAGGCTCCACACAGGAGAGAAACCATACAGATGCCTAGAATGTGGAAAATGTTTTACTCAACAGGGACACCTTTTGACACATCATAAAACCCACACAGGGGAGAAGCCACATCAATGCATCCAATGTGGACAATGTTATTCTACCACATCAAACCTTAGACGTCATGTGAAAATTCACATCCAATGTGGACAATTTTATTTTACCACATCAAACTTTGGACGTCATGTGAAAATTCACACAGGGGAAAAAAACTACAAATGTTTAGACTGTGGGAGAACATTTGCTCATTCACATTCCCTTAGAAACCACAGCCGAATCCATACAGGAGAGAAGCCCCATAAATGCTTGGAGTGCGATAAATGTTTTTCTCAGAAAGGTAATCTTGTGATACATCAGAGAATCCACACTGGAGAAAAACCATATAAATGTCTGGAGTGTGAGAAATGTTTTGCCCATCCTTCGTCACTTCGCATACACACCAGAAATCACACAGGATAGTGGCCTTATAAGTGAGAAAGCTTTTCATTGTAAATCAGAGTTAAAAATGCATCCGGATGTCCATAGCAGAGATAAACCTCTTCCGCTGTGAACGTTGAAAACATTTTTTTTTTCAAAAATCACATCTTAACATTAACTAGGAACATCACACAGTGGCAGAAGGGAAATCCTACTCTTGTTTGGTGTGGGGAAAATGTTTTTCCTACTCAAGTAGCCTTAAATACCATAATCAAGGAAAACTACATAAATGTTGGGAGTGTTAGAAAGTTTGGCACACAAAGCAGCAGCGCTAGTACAATAACAGAGTGATTACACAAGAGAAAAGAGCTATAAGTGATGGGCAGAGTAGATAATGTTTTGCAGAGTGCAGCTAGTCTTGACTTACAGTCGCAATTGGGAACAGATTTCCGGTGGATAAGTTGTTACGGTTGTTAGTCAAGGCACTCATATATATTGGAGCTGATTTTCTGACATATTTCTGGTCATTAAGCAAGTCACTGTAATCCTAAGTATAAAGCCATTCTTCCAAATGTCTTTTTTTATATATATAAAAAGTGGCAAAAAGAATGCCAGGAACTAGCAAAAAAAACAATTGGGATCCCACGGCTGTAGGATCATGAAAGTGGTCTTAAAAGCCATCCGGTTGCCAAGCGCCCATAAAGAGGTTACATAATTTTTTGGCTTTTGGGATGTGGATTGGGGTGTGTTGGTGGCTGGCTTTTAGATTATTAGCTGTCACTATATATGGGCACATATAAAATGTATATTCGCCTTCATTTGTGACAAATTGTCTAGCTGAAAATAAAAAACATTGAAAGCAAAGTTCTTGCCACTCTCCTGTATTTCTAGCAAAGAAAGTCAAAGAGGATGGAAACTGCTCAGATGTTCAGGAACTCTAAGAATATTTTAAAATGTTATTTTAAAATTCTTGTCCGTGTTTGATAAATGGAACATTCTTCTTTACTTATTTCGTTATTCTTCCTTTGGCTCGATCTTCACGCTTGCTAGCAGGAAAAGAAGCCACAGCCTGTGTTCCACTTACGGCCGCATTTGGGACTGGAGTTTCCATCGTTAAACGATGCCCTCAGAAACCCCTGACTGCACTGCACACTGATGACAATCCCTACAGTCCTGGTTGCCGTCCTCAATTGAATCCCACAGTCATTTGACGGGGCGACTTCCTGCAGGCTTC